ATTGCACAGTCGATGACTTTACATGGCTGCGCGAACTATCCGTTTTCACCATCATCCTGTCGAACTGCATGGGCCTGTGGAACTGCCTGGAGCTTCAGGCTGACCAGCTGAGTGCTGCCTGGAGACCTACGCGTTGACGCACCCGCGCTACCGTCGATATTTCGAAATAGCTATTTGTTCGCCTCCACTATTGGTCGCGACCACTTACTGAGTAACTTTCTGCATCTGTCGACCATGCAAAGGCCCCTCAATTGCGTCCAGGATCAAGCACACCGCCAAAATAATCAGATGCGGACAGCTTCAAGATACTTCGCTCGCGTCATAAGTTTATCCAAACAGTCTTGTCGATCCAACGGCAATCTTTTGGTTGGTGGGCGCGCGTGCGCCAGGTCCCCTGTTAGGACTGAATACCCTGCTGCCGGCTCTGGTACGCGGCTCGAGGCTGACCTGCAACGTTCGACAGTCATGCAGCCCTATGCATCCTCCCGTTTCCTGGAAACACGTGGTGGCGGTCAACATGTCTTACGCAGCCCTACCACGATTGCATCTCCGACCACCGGTCACGTCTTTCACGACCACAACCACAGCTCTCTCTCGCATGGTTGGGATCGTTTCGAGAGAGTGTGGGTGTCACACCCGCCACATAATAGGATTACTTGTTCCAGCGAACGAACACTTTAGGCCCACAATCTACCAGAGCATTTGGCCCCCTTTCTGCGTCTGGTCTCATCAGAAGACTGTGATGGTGTAACAATACTTGGCTTGACCCTTGAATAAACCAAGGCTGTAGTGTTTCGTCGTAATGGTGCGTACAATCGAGCAGTGACTTCATCTTTGGGAAGCCCGACGAGCACAACCACGATCTAGCTGGGCCAAGGGCAATAGGCAGCACCACAGAATAATTCCGGAGAGCAAACACTATACCGACCGCATCTGCAACCTTCGCATATAATCGTGTCTACCTCTAGGTGCCAGCCAAAATATAGCAACAGACCGGAATGCGACGCACTGCGTCGGGTGTCCCTTTTCCTCGGCCTTAAACTCCAACAAACTCGTGATGACGCGCGTACGCGCACACTTTAGTTTGTCATAACTGGAGCGAAGAAAACACAGCATCGATCATGAGATAGGTCAGCCAAGGAATGAAGATGCTATATTGCAAGCGCCACGAAGCTGACAGAGCAGCCTTACCACCGATATATACCCGCGCTTCGTAGTCCTATCATATCCTGCAGAAACGTCTGCATGGGCAAGCGAGCACTGCCTGTTCAGGCCGACTATCGCTTCATATGTTCCCAAGTAGCAATTACACGATAGTCTACTTCACCGCTTCGACCCCGCGTCAGCTGACTTGCATCAAGCCAAATACCCCACGCACAATCTCGCCCACCCCTTCCATAGATCTGGGACCGGGCGACTGTCTCGGGTCCTACAACGATGTCGGCACTGCCTAGTTACCACTCACCGGAAATAGGGCAAAAGATATGCTCGACGATTCCCCCAGATGTCTGACAGAAATACCGATGATGTTGAGTGCCAGATCACACCTAGGCTCGTCCATAGATGGCATACACCGCCTTCTCTTTTATCTCCGGATGTGTTTGCTGCAGTGGTACCCCGCATGTTGGTGCCACAAAAGCGCAACGACATGTGGATCTGCGACGAGGCGGCACGGTCTTGACCGGAATTCCTGCGTTTGATATAAGCGAACCGGCATTCTCAGGGAGCCAAGGGCGCCTACGAATGGAGCATATTCATTCCCAGATAGCTTAGACAAGATATACATGTACTGTAGCTATACTTATGGCTTTACATTTAGATAAGCTGACGCCAAAGTACAAAGTGGAATCGCCATGTCAATATGGTGCAAATAAAGTAATAGGTAAATCTTTAGTATGGATTGGTAACGTATAAATGAAATCCTAAAAGCCGATGGATACCAACAAAGAAATAGACTTGAGGGTATCACCAAATCATCCTCTAGTGCCAACAGGATCAACTATCTCTTTGAAAACAAGATCCTCCGAAGCAAAAACAAAAACCTCCAAGCGCCTTAGTGTTCTTCTAAGCAGTCGTAGCATCATAATATTATACATCTCCAAACGACGAAGCCAAGTGTTGAGGTGTCTTCACATGAGGACACCGGCAAACACCATCATGCCAAGGGCATAGTACCCAGCGTACTTTCCAACCTTCAAGTTGATAGCTGCGCTGTCATCATCAGAGCCACCAGGCGCAGTAGTACCCTTTTCAAGAGTACCGTTGAGAACAAGAGTCTTGGTACCGTTGACATCTGAGACGGTGACAAGAGTCTTGTTGAGCGCAGCATAGCTGCCATTGCCAACAAGGTCGTTGAGATACTGCTGATCATCGTTCTCGTCGCAACCACATACAAAGCCCTCCTCGCACACACACATGACAGGGAGAGACTCGTTGCGGCCCTGGGTTTGACGGACCCATAATTCGCGGCGGTCGTTGTTATTGTTGTTGTCGTTGTCGTCGTTGGTGGCGGACTGATTGTAGAAGCGGTAGGGATTGTTGTAATAGTAGGGATAGGTGCTGTACAACCACAGACCGGGCATGATGAGCAGCATGGTAGCAGGCAGGAGCAGGGCACCGGCAATGAGTCCCTTGGGCGTCCGTGAACCAGCGGTGTAGGGTGTTGCAGCGCCGCCGCCGTAATACCGTCCGCCAGCGAAAGTGCGCGGTCGACCTGAGCCTGCACTTGTGGAACCACCAGCATTCGAGGTTGGCGATGTACGTCCGGGGGTGCCGCCTCCGCTGCTCCCACCTGAGCGACCACCTCCGCTGCTGCCACCACTGCTTCCTCCTCCTCGTCCTCCTCCTCCTTTGCGACGCTCTAGGGTATGGTCTGGTGAGACAAGTTCAGAGGCAGGGACAACTCGTCGGTCTTCGAGGACATTGAGGGCGTTTGATTCAGGTATCGATGCGGCGCTGATTGCCTGTGCGACAACGAGGCCGGTGAGGAACTGTGAGAACTTCATGGTGAAGTTGATGTGTGAGGGTGATACGAGAGGGTCGCGGATGTAATGCACGACGCCAAGTGTCGGGTCGAGGTATTACCGAGGAAGTTACAAGGATGTTCTAGTGGTAGTGGAGTATGCGAGAGAAGAGCGTAAGAAGTTTGCTCTGTGATTGTGTAGCAACTTGCTAGGTATAGGGTTGGATCAATATACGACTTTGCGAAGAGGCAGGCGTGGGTCTTTAAGGTTACGCCGGTCAGAGACATGGGTTGCACTGCCCTGCGTCATGAAAGAAAGCCTGGGGCAAAGGGTAAAGCTTGGTCAGTTGGGACCCGCCACCCTGCCAGCTAAGGCTAACCTTGTAATTTGAATTGGGTGCCTGACAAGCTGCCGGCGATCCTACCAATCTATGGGCTAAATTGTATGGATCTTTTGTGGCTGAACTGTGTTGCTCTTTGGGCGACGGTGAGCAGGTGCCGCAGAAGCGCCGTTAATCTGCTATAACAAGCGCAGGACTGCACAAGTTGCCAGACCGAAGTTGGATACCTGCTCACTGTGGACCACAACTTGAGCCTCCCCCTGGAGAATCTTTCGTTGTCCAATATTCATGACGTGCGAAACGATCAAGCGCATCGAATTACTCGGGGAAGATGACCTCATGGTCGCTGATCTGCCGAGGCGCTAGAATGTTTTCCGAACCAGATGTGTGGCCAAACGCATCACAGGACGAGGAACCAACATACCAGAGGAGCAAGCTCAGCCGAATATCCGATTGCGCCTCGATGCTGTTTGTTAGCGAGAGGTATTGTAATCGCTATGAATCACTACCATAAAACACCGTCATTGGTGCGCATATGTGCTCGGGCGCATTAGACGTATAGCGCAGAAACAGTAAACGCCAAGAGCGTAATCTTATGTATTGCCGCTGCATGCAGCGTTGGGCACAAATAATAACGGATCTTGTACGCTGAATGTCTTAGTATCGAAACACATGGCGCTTTGTTGGCACGACCTGATAACTGAAAACGGGCATCATCGTGGCAGAATTGACAACAGGGACCGGAGTGGAAGTCTTGGCAATGGTGACAGAACATGATGTGCTACAACGCAGGGCGCCTGAAAAGTAAACGACGCTTTGTGATTGTTGGATATTTGGTTCCACGACCTTGCTTCTTTCTTCCGCTTGACCGTCTCTCTCTCACATAACTTCTTGTTGTGCGTCCAAGCGACTTGGCTATCCGACACGACTAACCCCCATTCTAAATAAGCTTTCCCGCGAATAATGCTGATTTGTTCGCGAATGCCAATATGTTGTTTACTCCACATGCCAACCAAATAGCCAGGCCTCGAGCCGTTTATGCTCGCGAGGCTGTGTATACGCCGGTCCCTTGGTCTGGGTTCAACGGGTGGCGCAGCCAGGGCACGTGGTGAGCCTCAGGCTTCGTGACCACGACTGCGGATAGCAAGTCTGTTGTGGCAAGGTGCCCATTGTTCACCGGCCTTTGTATAGCGGATATGGTTTACTCGGGGTATCATCGTCCTTGATGTGGTGGTTCGGCGGGGCCTCCATCCGACACTGTCTGATATTTCAGATATTCCTTCTCCAGTTCTCTCTGCATCTCAAAGTCTGCCTGTCGCTCGCGCTTGATTCGCTGCTGTTCGAAATCGCGGATGACGCCCATGTGCATTGCCTGCTACAAGTCAGATATAGTTGCCTGACCATGTCGACTCTAGAACACTCACTGCCTTGTCGGCCTTTTGCGACCAATGCACAAACGCGACGGTGCCAATCGCTGTGACACATGTAGTCGCCAGGGTAATCTGAGACGCTCGAGACATGGTGGGGACCGTGGAGTGATGTCGAGGTAGATGAAAGAGCCTTGTGTAAATTGGAGCGGGACCATGGCGGGAAGGAGCTTGGGCCTTGGAGCACCTGCCGCCAAGTCCACGGCTGCATCATGCCTCTCCGCAACTCAACCCTGTGATAACCAACATCCCCACGATACCATACTCAAGATGGCGAGTCTACATGTAGCTGTAGGCTGGAATCTTCGCTGACAGCAACAGTCCGCCCAAAACTCCCAGGGTATCCAGACCCTGCTCGACGTAAGGCAGCGCAGCCCAGTTCAACCTCCGCATAGCTCACATAGCACCTAGGCCGAGCGCGAAGCTCAGAAGATTGTCCAGCAAGGTATTTCGCGTTCCAAACTGCTGTGTGGATGCAGCTGCTAACTTCTCAACAGCCAGAGAATGTAATCAATGCCCGTCGTGCCCTGCTGAAGCAGCGCTCTAACCTATCCAGACCGTACCAAGCGAGTCAAGGACGCCCGAAGCGAAGCACAGAAGGAGATCGAGGACTATAGAAAAGAGAAGGAGTCTGAGTACCAGAAGTTCGAAAAGGAGGTGTGTTGGTGGACATGATGCTCTGTATACGTAACGGACGTTCAAGGCTGACTATGGCGCAGCACAGCTCAGGCAACCAGAAGGCTGAAGAAGATGCGAAGAAAGACACAGATGCCAAGGTCAAGGAGATTGACGAGATTGGCAACAAGTCCGGCAGCAAGGTTGTCGATCAACTTATCGAAGCAGTCGTAAATGCGCACCCCAAGCCACCAGGCAAGCAGGATTAGAGCGCCGACATGGCGAGTTTGGATGGAGAACAGAGTCAGATGAGTGAGATACGGGAGAGACCTATGGCGAAGAGCGTTCCTTGTACATGACCTTTGATGGACCTAAGACAGCCAAGGTCGATGTATCACCTAGAAATACAAGCAACAGGCGATTTACCGCAAGTACGGTGGATGTAATCAAATTCAGCATGCATACTTCCTAAGCTTTGCTAGTCAAGACGGTTATCAGGTTTTCAAATGCATCTAGGTCTTACTAGCACCGTTGAGTTGCAGACACTATTAGATTCTGAACACATTCCCCTTCTACTGCGCTTGTCGTATCATACGTATGAATCTCTGCTTTTATCTGCCGGGGAAATCCAAGGCAGGCTCACATCTCGATCCATGACATGCATCTGCATCTCTCTCGTTGCGGACCCTGGCCCACGTCGATGGATCGTCGCTAGCTTCCCAAGGTCAGGCCTACGTCACCGCTGTGGAACTTTGTAGTCTGAGTCTCAACGCGCCTCCAAACCGCAACACAATGCGCTACACCCAATGATACGAATTTGTGCTCGAGTGACGACTCGCTCGTCTGCGTACAAAGCCACGCCATTTCGAAACTCACCGATATACACGGCTCGCCAATTTAGCAGCTCGCAATGGCGCAAAGAAGACCCGCGCATCTCAGACTTTGGTCGCGAGATCGTAGATGAGTTTGCCGTGATGCGCGAGAAATACGGTACATCCACGCCAAATTCGCACCCATATCATGACAACAGCTAAAGTTCTGTAGATACGCCTGTATGCGACGTACTCCTTTCCAAACCACAGCTCCTGACACACGTAGAAACACACCATAGTCCTTGCCCACGGTTTACTGGGCTTCGATGAACTACGAATCGCCGGACAGTTTATACCGGGCATACAATACTGGCGCGGCATAACAGACGCACTGGCGCACAAGGGCATTGAGGTCATCGTGGCTGCAGTTCCGCCTAGTGGAAGCATCGAGGCGCGGTCTGCAAAACTGGCTGAGAGTATTGCGGTCAAGGCAAAAGGTAAACAGGTCAACATTATCGCGTAAGTTACGAGACTGGAATACAACGTACTGGTGACAGTTCGCTAATCGCTCGCAGACATAGCATGGTACGAGCTACACTATCATGGTGTAATACGTAGTGGCTGACCTTTGCATAGGGGTAATGATCATCTGCACCTGACCACAACGACTACTAAGCATGCGCAGAGGCCTCGATTCGCGTTACATGATTAGCCAGCTCCGACCGACCGACTTTAAGATACTTTCCTTGACCACCATAGCCACTCCACATAGGGGCTCTGCCTTTGCAGACTACATGTTTCAGACGATCGGTCGTACGTCAAGGACACATTCTTGAAAGAAATTCACTAAACCATTCCCAGCTCGTCGTATCAAACGTGTCTACAGTGTTATGGAGTACTTTGGCTTTGAGACTGGTGCCTTCTCGCAACTCACGCAAGAGTACATGCAGAACAGCTTCAACCCCAAGACGCCAGATATACCAGATGTCAGATACTTCTCGTATGGTGCGTCTCTCGAACCGACTCGATGGTCCGTCTTCGCACCTTCGCATGCCATTATCAAACAGAAAGAGGGTGTGAACGACGGACTAGTCAGGTGTGTATACAGCTCGCGTTCATTATGCTCAATACCAACTAAGCACTTCAATAGTGTCCAGTCCAGTCGCTGGGGCGATTACAAAGGCACTCTGATTGGTGTAAGCCATCTCGACCTGATCAATTGGACCAATCGTCTTAAGTGGTTCTTTTGGGAGCTCACAGGTAGCAAGCGCAAGTATGAAGTCGCGATTCATAACCTAGTCTGAGTCAAGGCTGACAAAAAACAGTTTTAATGCTATTGCATTTTATCTTGATATCTGCGGTCAGTGACGACCCTTCCAACCATGTACAATTGATTTCTAATAAAGTTTACAGATATGCTAGCGAAGGAGGACCTGTAGTTCTGCCAGATGCGACAATAGCTAGCCATCAGTTTTGAACCATTCGAAGCCTAGCAATTTCGACGGCAAAGCACTCGTGGCTTGATTGTCTTACATGTAATCTTCGGATTCAGCGTATATTCTGTGTGCAAGGCATGCTTTGAATAACCTCATCTCGGGGAGGTTTGGGCCTGGTCACACCATGCTCATGTAAGACAGGGGCATGCTTCAGCCCGGAAGTGCGGCTATGGCCGTGGCTGTGTACAGCCAAGTGTCCGAATTGGGGGTATGACATGCTGGGCATGCAAACTCATACTTAGACGGAGACGCAAAAGATGTGAATTCATGGAAAAGCCTCAAAATCGTATCAAGTTGAGCCAGAGAGTGTTATGGTGGTTGATATCATGAAACAGTCTGGCATCTAGTTATGACGTTATTAGACCCTGGCCTGATGGGGAACTGGAGAACCCCGCGCGCATCCGTTTTTGCGATGCGCAGCCCGCATCACAAACACCCTCACCACATGACACGCGTTCTCCTGGCTTAGCCGCTGCATCACCGACATACTTTCTGCGCTAAATTGTACTTCTACTCCCAGCCGCAACCTTAATCCTTGACTAGATGTCGACTCACCTTCACAAGCTTCGCGACTACCCGTTTATCTAGGTGTGACCTGGAAGCCAGATACCAGCCACAGATTCTGAGCGCGAACCGTTAATATGATCGTCAACATAGTGCTTGAGCATCCTCACGAGCACTACACCAATCTCGATGTCATACAAGGCAGGGTCTTCTTGCGCGTGCCGAATCCGACCAACATTAGCAGCATTGTTGTGAAGCTTGAAGGCGAGAGCAGGACCAGGCTACTGGCACCCATACATCCAAACAGGCCAGACAAGCAGAGACCAGTCCTAGAAGTGCACAAGTTCTTGTACAAGACACAAGTGGTATGGCCGACGAATGTGCGTCCCGAAGACATCGCCCAGAACTCGAAAGCGGCCTTCACTATCAATGCTGGGTCCTTTGAGTATCCGTTCCAGTTCAAGGTATGAGATACAATACAGGTAGAGAACTTTGTTCATGGCTGATCGAGCTTGCAGCTGCCTCTGAACACGCAATGTCAGCAAACGAACAACCCCATCTCTAATGTTTCCTTCTCAAACGCGATCCCCGAATTCGCAAAGACACCAACACAACACGTCAAGGCGACACTTCCTCCTACACTAAGCGGTTTCCCGGGGGAGGCCGAGATACGATACTATGTCAAGGTCACAGTGAATAGGCCACAGTTCTTCAAAGAAAACCCGAGAGCGATAGCAAACTTCACTTTCCTCCCAATCGAACCTCCGAGACCAGACACGACAGACGGAGAGGCATATGCAAGGCGACAACACGAGTTTCTGGAGAATGCACCGAGCGTGGCAGCGGGTAAAAGGCTGAGCTTCTTCGATAGAAAGAACTCGACGGGAAGTATCCCGCCATCGCCGACATCAGGCAGTGTGCCACCTCGGGTAGCGATCGATGCGCGATTGCCCAATCCTGCGATCCTTACTAGCAACCAAGACGTGCCACTAAGACTGCTCGTGAAGAATGTCAGCGCGCGTACAAAGAACATTTACCTACAGATGCTCCAGATTGAGCTGATAGGATACACTAAGGTACGTGCGCACGAAGTGTCGCGTACGGAGTCGAATAGTTGGATATTGTGCTCCTTCAGTAATATGGCTATCCCAATTGGGTCTCCGGAAGACCCTGTAGATACGGAGGTTCCCATCAATGCGGAGTACTGGTCTGGAAAGCCGGTGCCCAACACCGTATCGCCCAGCTTCACATCATGCAACCTTGCGCGTTTCTACGAATTGGAGATACGCGTCGGCATCGGTTATGGAAGCTACAAGCACGGTGAAGATCAGCTCATCGTTCTACCACTTAGACTACCAGTCAAGGTCTATTCAGGCATCGCTCCGCCCAAAGCTCTTTTGGAAGCTGGTTTCAATGCAGAGAAGCCCGGAACTCTTGCCCCGCCACCCCACGCGGCCCCTCGTCCTCATACTCCAACGACGCCAACGCATGGAGGCTTTGATGGTGCCAATGCCTTCTCTGGACAGCCAATACAACCCCAGCATGCTCCTGCGTATGACGATGCCCCACCGAGCTACGAGGACGCGATTGGACAGGATCTTCCTCCGATCAATGGGTACAGAGGCAGTTACCAGCCTCCTCCTGTGCCCGAAGGCGCGCCAAGATTTTCCGATGAGAAGAGACGATGAGAAGTCGTGCTACAGGGGAGCTCGTTTTGATAGATTATATCTTAGTGATCGTGTACTCTTAGTGGTTGTGAAGCTGTTCACATAAAGACGCGGCGGATATTCTTAGGGTGCATGACAGGCAAAGCTGAAGTGTTGATGGTCTGTCCAGATGTGTCAAGAAGTGGCGATGTGGGCTGTTGGTAATCGAGGGAGTTTGGGCCGCAACAAATAAACAAAGAGGCACGCGCATTGCAGCCGAAGCGGGGGAATGCTGCATTTCTGAAGAAGAGGCCGGATGTTGTTCTGTTCAATGAGTATAATTACTAATAGCATTTCTGGAAACATGGGAGGCTTTCAGTATCCAATCAGTATCATGTTTGATGCAGTCGTCCCAAACATGTGTATCCAGGTGCGGGGTATTTTGCACACGCTCAAACAGACGCGCATAGCCGGCACCAATGCAAGCACGGCAATTGTTGTTGTTGTGGTCCTCGAATCGCGACTCACCAGAGCAACGTTCAGAGCCCACTATGCGCACTAATAGACGCGTCGTGCCTGACTTGCGGGATTGCCAACAGCCCTGCACGCGACTGGAGAGCTGACCGCCAGTCGTGTGTGTCCAGCCACAAGTTCTAAGACCAAGGCACAGACACGATGCGAGACTACTGCAAGAGCCGCATACACTATCCCGTGCATGCTAGTATCTGGTTGGCTGGAGAGAGTGAAACGTTTCAAGCCGGCTCTAGGCTACAGCCCCACTCAGACACTTGGTCGAATCGTCGCGTCCAACACCATATATACACGTCCTCCCACCGCGAGATGGTCGCGTTTTCCGATCAATTCTTCGGCTGCTTTGCGTTAAGAGTTGGGAATCCGGTGGCCGGCTCGTTGGCATCTAGGGGGAACAATGTTTGACTCACACTTGCAGCTCACGTGTAGTAGCGTTGGGCCCCGCTTTGCGACCATGCACCACGCTGTGGTAAATACGGCTGGCTATGAGGCCGTGGCTGTTCCCGTTGGATTCTGGTTTCCTGAGGTTCGCTTTTCTCTCTCGAATGCTGCATGTTTGAACCGACTTTTACAATTTACTTGAGATTTACTACGAGATTGATTCCTTGAACAAGACACGCCTGCTGTACCACACAACACCATTGCATGCGACCAACGCGACTATCACGACATGTACTCACAGCGATCTTCGCCACCGCCACTGAAGCGCTCACATTCATCTGAGAGCCAAAACAGTTATGCCAGCGCTGCGACAACCGTGTCGCGCGCAAGCTCCAAGCTACTGTTTGGAGAGATCCCACTGACGCCTGCGACAACCGTAGATGGACGCTGTAAGTCGCTCCTTCGCAATGCGCGGAGCCCCTACTGATCTCATCAAGCAATTCGTTCCAATGGATCCATCTGCAACTTGGTCCTTTCAACAAGCTCCGTCTTCTTGCGCTTTTGGCTGAACGATACTTGCCGCGACAATGTACTGGACCACATGGAGCCCGAGGACCTCTCCAACTTTCGCCTTGTATGCCATGACTTCTCCTCCAAAGCTGCCCCACGACTCTTTGAGAAGATGACTGTGACATTCAAGACCTCTACCTTCTCGAAACCTGCGCGTCTCGAAGCGCTATCAAGGATAGGCCGTCACGTCAAGACTTTCACCTTCCACATGCCACATGGTTCGGACACCTGCTTGCCGCCCATCATTGATCCTTGCACTGGCACAGAGAAACAATTCATCTACGAGCCGCAAGTTCAGATACCGCAACATGGTCCGGCCAAGGACAAGGCACCCAAGTATGGAAGCTGGGAGATGCAAGATCTACTCATCAAGCAGTATCCACCGCTTTTCCATGCCGCAACAAATGTTCCTGCATTTTGCGCTGCCTTCTCTGAACTGATCAACCTCACACATCTCAAGGTCTCGTGTCCAGGATCTACCGGCTCACTTCGACACCGACGGGGTGTAGTCGACTATGCGCTCATCTCTCTTCGCATCGCCGTCGAGCGCGCTCCACTGTACAGTCTCTCTGCCCTTTCCCTTCATCCAATCCACCCTGGCGGCCTCTTGTACCTTCACCCCATGCACGGCTTCGGCAGCACACCCTCCTCGGCCAAGCGCTGGTCTCAAATACGTCGCCTCTCAATCTGCATGGAAAGTATACCCTTCACCTCAAGCTCCTCACGTACACGCGCCCAATCTGTAGAACACCTACGCATCTTACATGCCTACCTCTCAACCCTCTCCCGTGGTCTAACCCGGCTCTTCTTCCGCTGGAAAGGCGAGCGCGGACCCTCTCCCTTATCCCTAGACCGGGAACCCTGCATGCTTCCTAGCCAAGAAGAAAGCACTCACCCCTCTCTCCGCGGCCAAACCCATGGTCCCCGTCCTCTCAAGTTCCCCCGCCTCCGTGTTATGGAATTGGAAAATGGGCTCATGGACTCGGCACAAATCAGTGACTTCATCACAAAGCACAAGCGCAGCCTGCGCGAATTCAACTTTGAAGATGTCAAATTACGCGAAGGGGATTGGGATCTCGCTCTCGAACCTCTGACCACCATCACCGGTAGCGAAAGCTGGAAACAGTATCAAGAAGAGGTCATGGATGTTCCCATCATGCTGTCGCCTGTTGATGCTGAACCTAGGGTCATGGGCCCATTACTCGAGGAAGTTGAACAGGCGATTGAGGAAGTGAGCGGCAAGGAGAGGAGGGAACATGCGCTGAGCAGGTGGTTGGGAAGACCAAGACAGTCGAAGAAAGATAGCTTTTGGGGTGGGGGAAAGCGCTTTTTGCATCTTTCGTCATGGAAGGGGAGTTCACCTGTCATGGTGAGGTAAGCTTCACGTTGCTATTCAAGTTTTTACGGGTGTACGATACCTTTGGTTTGGGTACTTGGGAGTTTTGCTGTGGGACGTCACGGTTGATACCCATCGGGAATGGTTTCTTGCGTTCACTCTCTTTGCCTCTTTTCTTGGCATTGTCCTGGAATTTGGGGGTTATGGCCTGTTCACTCTTTCCATTATTTTCTTATTTTGTCTTTCCTACGCTCATTACGACTTCTACGTCTTTACGGCCTTTACGACTATACCACTGAAATCATGCTTACGGGGTTTTTCACGATGATACGAGTAGCATAGCACAGCCTGACGATCTTTAAATGACAATCTCCTTCTGTTCCTTACCTCAACTCCAGCCATGCTATACTACGTGCGTCTTCTGGCGAGCAACACGGTGCTTGTATGATTTTGAGACATCGTCGTCTTCGCTGCAAGTTATGGACTGTGTTTATGGTCCAGTATGCTCAGAAGGCGTTTGCATGTTTCCCTACACGAGCAAAGCGTTGAGGATAGTACACTTCTCGATGCACGTGTAGTGAGGGAGAGTAGTTGCAAATACATCAAATTCCAAGTACGGCAGAAGTCTCATGAATAACAGATGTTGCTCTAGTGCGGCTACAGTAGCAGCGTCGGACGGGAAGGACGATGCATGGCCAAAGGCGGATAAAGCTGATAAGGCAATCGAACTCAGTAATATGTATACAATTGCAATATTGTGGTATAAATGCGCTATGTGTTTCGATTGATATTTGAGTGCGGCTGTGCTCCATCTGAAGTGCAAGCTTATAGCTTAGCCTTCGTCTGCGCCTTCTTGAGAACCGGTTCCACTGGTTGGAAAATGTCAGTAAATCTTTCCGCTGTAGAAATGAGAACTAAACTTACATTTCGTCGCGCCCATGATGTTTCCTTTCACCTTGAGCTTCCCACTCATGAAGAGTTTCTGCGCATTCGCATTACCAGAGACCAGTTTTCCAAAGTCCTCATCGCTCAACGCCAGCGTGGTGCCAGCCTTCTTGCCCTCGGGCGCAGTACCCTTGCCAACAGTGCCAGTCTCTTTCAGATCAATATACCATGACTCTTGTGTACCAGCTTTGTTCTTGAGTGTGAACGCAAATATGGCCTTGCCGTTCTTGATGGCGTCTTTACGGTCGGCGTCGGAAGCGGAGAGGGCTCGCGAGATCTCGTCAAAGGCAGCGGAAGAGGGGAAGTCGTCTAGCATGGTTAGTTGAACAGATTCGAAATGTCGCGGAGCACACATGTGCGTACCGTTCTTGAGAGACATGGTGGCTATGTGTTGCTAGGACGGTGGTGCAGTTCGAGGCGATGCTTCAGACAAAGGTGTAGGTAGGTTCAGTTAAAGATGTTTGTTGGGCTCAGATCGCGGATGCTAAAGACTGTGGGGTATATAACGACGTTCGGAAGCTTGTGACAGCAATGATGATGCATGCAGCCTTGATGTGAATCCGGGGGAAGCATGTGATGGAGCGAGCGGGCCAAGACCCTGAATCGATTATGCCGAGGCACTTTGGGGCTGAGCACGTGGAAAGAATGTGACGCTAACTTTATCGACAGCCCTGCAGAACTCGCATCTCTTGCCTAAAATTACTACAAAGTTTAGCCATTCCTAACTAAGACGAGCAGTGACAGCATGTCATAAGGTAGTTGATGAGTATTCGCAGTGCCATACTTCGTGCGACAAATATACGCATCTGAACACTTCAAGCGACTGGCCGTGTGCCGTGATGTATGTAACTGGCCTGAACGCTTCTGCATCATTGAAGCAAGACCGAGATGTCTCCGGCACACTTGATCAAGAGTTACCGTACGTTCTCTATAGACAGTGCTACATCGTTTCATCTTTACAGTCAGACGCCTTCTCCAGAGTACCTCCACTCCACAGCCCGATTCCATGTTTGCACTTTTCTGGTGACGTACCTAGACAATCCACGTGAGGACGCGCTACTACGCGTTTCGGCTTGGCGCGTTTCCCCTTTTGTCTCATCCTAGCAATCCACATGCTCAACTTCATTTCCAGAGCTCCGTTCTACCTACCTACGCTATGAAAAACGACCTTAGCAAGACGTTCGGCGAAATCTTCGATGGCGACATCTCTGCTTTCCGCAAGCAGTTGCTAGAGATCCAACACATCCAAGCTGATCGTCGGAAAGCTGAAGAATGGGTATCAAACCTCCGCTTCTTGGATATATCAAAAGTGCCCAACTTAGAGGTGGAAAAGAAGAAGCAAGATCGACGCTTCGCTTTAGCCCAGATCCGCGATCCGTTGCACGATCGAGTGGTCCCTTCGCGCGAAATATGCGTCACGCAACCCGAAGACGATGACGGCAAAACTCCATATATTGCTGTCTCCTGGAAGTGGACCGAAATTAAACGCGAGTCTCTTTACAACGACCCTAACTCGCCGGTTTTCGACTACCGGATCAAGAGACCAGGTGCGAAGTCTCATAAGAGTAGTTTTCCTGACTCCTACATGGATCGGGTGATTCGGTTCGCACAGAGCATCAACGTATCGAAGCTATGGATCGATAAAGAGTGTATATACCAAAGGCCTGGAGACGAGCGTATGTGGCCAGAAGACAAGCAGCATGGAGTTCAAATCATGGATGTAATCTATGGTGACAGCGACTGCTCGGTGGGGTTACTGACCGTGGACCTTGCACACCAACAGGATATCGACCTTCTGTCAAAGCTGCTTCAGGGCCATCTCTTCATTGATCCTAAGAATAAAGATTCCCCGAAACTAAGACCCGAAGTCAATATAAAGGCAGTACAGACGCTTATTCTTCGTATCCTCAGTGATCCTCGCTGGTCACGCGGCTGGATCTTCCAGGAAGACCATTTGGCTTCAGACAGGATGGTCTTGCTCATACCATACCCTAAACATGGCCGTGTAAACTACGACTACGAATTTGGGGACATCACTGGAGAGCTGCAGATCAATCTTAAGGATCTCCGACAGAACGTGACGTTGTTCTGCTTGGCTTGCCCTGAAGAACGACAGCGACAGCCCAATACTGATATTATAGGGAAGCTCAAGCAGTACAACATCTGGAACAGAATCTTCATATCGCCTAAAGACAAGTATCCGTTGCGCTCCCGGAGTGGTAGCAACGATAGTCGTACTGATGGCAGTGAGACCAAACGGCAAAATATCGAATTCAGGACTCCAGCTTTTTTGAATACTACCAACAGCGTACTGGACGACATTTGTACCCGGTCATTGGAGAACGAGGAGGACAGGATTGCCATTCTCGCAAACGCTCTGAGGTTTACCAAGCGTATAAACATTTCCGAAGGGTCTACCATACATGAGCCAGGCAAATACAGCCTCTCGGTAGCTCTCCTTGCACTTATACTTATGAACGGGGAGATCTTGACGAGTAGACCATGGGAGCAATATGACTCAATGTATCTCCCCAGCGAGGGTAACTTGATGCGGTACACCTTACGGTCTTATCTAACGGCATGCCGACACCCTTTCATTGTCCCTAACATGAAACTTCAGCAGAGGTTTGTCGACCGCTGTCGTCTCAAATCTCCGAAAATCACATCTCGTGGTATTGAGACAAAAGGCTACCTTTTCGATTTATTTCCCCCCGAGCAATTGGAGGGTCAAGCAAAACAGCATAGCACGCTTTGCTTAACTGAAGCAGACCGGGACGCTTTGCCGGACTTGGGTCAGGGTCCTGTGTTTCGGGGTAGAAAGCTCGATAAGAATGCACATATAGCGTTGGACCTTGTCATCCAGAGATTGGAGCAGCAGTGGCCAGGTAGTAAGCTTGCCAATCACATGCGCAGACACTTAGTGCTCGATCAACATCCACCACGGCCGAAGGACGTGCGGCCATCTACACCATACGTATTAGATATGATGTTAGCACTCTACCAAGCTCTTCTCGAGAAACGAGAGCTCCGCTTTGCGCGACTAGTTTCAGCGCCACAAGATACAGAACCTGCTGCCATCTTTATCAAACCGGAGCCAAATGGTTGGAAGACCGAGCATGCACTTGACATAAATCCCGACGGAGAGCCTAAGCTTGCGAAGGTTTTCACAAGCTGGGACAAGGGTCGTAATTTTTATGACAAGGAACGATTGGCAAGTTTGGAAGTCGGCGTGACATCCGACTTGGAACATCAAGGGGATGGGCAGGAGCGAGGTTGCTTCCTTTACAGCTACGGATGGGTGAATGGGGTTTGGTATGCGGAAGGTGATGCAATGGAGACATTTGTCTTTCCCTTCGCAGGAATCACTGAACAAAAACTGCCTACAGATCGTTCGTCGAGCAATGGGGAAAGGAAGAGGAAGAGAGGAATCGACACCTAAAATAGGACTACTTGTAAATGAAGGTTGAGGCAGGGTTATTAGCACCTGCAACACACGTCATGAACACGGCATGAATACGGCATTCTTGAGTCTGGGGTTGGAAGCAACTGATCGTCTTGTTGTGTCATACTGTATAGCAGCAACTAGCGCTTCTTTGTGATATAATAACATGGTGTCAACCTTGAGCTCAAACTAACATATGCCTCATACTAAAAGGTGCGTAGGTAGGTACACTTAACATCAAAGACAATAAGTACCAACCATACATATTAGGGACAGACTGTCAGCATAGGTACATCAAGACCCGTGACCAGATACGTAGCTGGATCAGGGGAAATATGGTTGCGTATACACGTAGGCGCTCTTTTGCTGTGCTGTAAAGAGAAATGCGGACGCGTATCCGACACTAGCAATGGCGTCATGCCCGATTCCCGAGGTCTGCCCAAACGCCACGGTCAGAGGACGCGCTAAGCCTTTCTCCCCACCTCTTCAATTCCGCCAACCACCACATCCTTGTATGCATAGAGATGTGATAGCATCCTGCAAGATGTCAAACTCTTGCAAGAGTTCTGATGGCCTGGTATTTTGACGATTTTTCTATCCTCGCTCTTTCCCGCATCGCCATGCCAGCGCCTACGGCAACAAAACGACGTAAAGCGACTACTGACAAGCTGGCACCACGGAAACGCGCGCCTGTCGCCTGCCAATTTTGTCGACTTCGCAAGACGAGATGTGACGGTGTCAAGCCTGTTTGTGGCTTCTGTAGACATCACGAAGCACAATGCGTCTGGGGCGTAGCAACCGAAGAAATCGCGAGCACACCTGCTGAAAAGGAAATACTTCAACGCCTGGATGAGCTGAGAGACCTGTTGTCGGATGCAAAAGAAACTACTTCGCCTGTAGCCGAACCCCAATACAGTACCTCAATACTACAAACACGAGAACGGCCAGCTACGCCCATCACTGCAGCTTCGCAAAACACCACACTAGATCCACTGGCGAATCTAGCTTCACCCTTCACTCACACGCGTTGCGAGAACGTCCTGGCGTGGCCTATCTTCCGCAGCGTGGTTGATCCAAATGATGTCGCTGTCGAGTCATTTGTTTTAGAGTGTGACAACTCCGTGGTGCTTGAAGATGCCATGCCAATGTCACCCAAGACTTTCTCGAACGCTCCGGTCTCTGGCTTGAATCTTCAGACTGATCAATTTTTACCGCTTTGCCATAAGTTTTTGGACCACGTACATCCTAGAAACCCGATGCTTGATGAGGAACAGCTTATCGGATACGCTAAGCATGTTACTAAGTACGGCCTGGACTGGGACGGCCCTTCGTGTCTGGTCGTATGTGGATTATCATGTGCCATGTTTTAACTCGGACTGACCAATTGCACAGCTAATTTCATGCGCCCTGGCTTGTTACACTGCGCCTTGGGAACGCGGCGATATTGGTTATCATCCATCTGCCGACTCAGTGACCGAAGATGCTGTATCTGCTCAAGCATATTACTTTGCCGCCAAGCAACGGATTGGTCTCCTCGGATGGTCTTTGGTGGACATTCACTGCCTTTTCTTCGCGTCGGTATACGAGAAGTATGCACTGAATCCTCTTCAAGCGTGGTTTTACATTCAACAAGCCTCAACACGCTTGCAGGCGCATTTAAAGCGTCAGACAAAGACTTCATGTTCTGATGATTGCACTGTGCGGTCAGATGGACTAATGCAGCGTGTTTTCTGGTCGGTTTACAAAGCCGAGCACGAATTGCTTCCTGAGCTGCCGTTCAGGTCCAGTGGCATTGAGGTTTTTACGCGAACCGACTCCATGTTTCCCTCACCTCCAGCCTTCGAAGAGGAAAGCAACGATGCCTCCTCGTTCAACGAGCAAGATTCTAGGTCTAAAGAAAGAAGCTGGGCATTCTACCTAGCCGAAATCTCCATTCGGCGCACAATCACCGACACTATATTTACCCTTTATCGTAGGGGCGAGAGGTACTGGCTAAATCATGTTGAGTCGCTAGTGCGCCAATGCGAAGATTCGGAAGAGCAGATCCAGCTGTGGCACTCGCACCTTCCGCTGTCAGTCCAATTTGATCCAGACGGAAACCCTGACAACGAGCTTGCATTCTTCCTGAAGGGCCGCTTCTCTTCATGGCGGAGTTACGTACTCCGACCCGTCTTATACTATGTCCTTCACCGCCCCTCTCAGCAGGCCTTGTCGCCTCAAATAACGATTTGCGCTCGTGGCCTCGTTGCCCTGTGCGCTGAAAGCATCATTCATTATGATCAACATCACCGTCATGGCGGAATTTGGTTCGTCTGCCGGCTTTCATTTACTTCAGCACTTTTGCTGCTAAGTGTTGTAATCAAAAGCGACATTGATGTTCTTCCACCCGCGGACTGGGGGTCACTGGTTGTCATGTCCATCTCAACTCAGCGGAAATGGGAAGCTCAGTCCGCCGATATTCGGAGATTACGAATGACTTTAGAGCGACTTTACACTATAGTTTGTCATCACACCAATACCCCGACATGCCAATCTTAGAACTGTGGCAGAAGCAAAGAGATTCTGTGGTAGATCGATGCCATTCCAGCCTTCTTTCAATCCTCTTAACCGGAGCTTGAGGGCCCTCAATGAACTTGACATTGCGCGCGGCACTTCCAAGTGATCAATCAATCATATCACGTGTAATTAAAACCCGGGTTGACTCAGTGCAACTTGCAAAAAACGGGCTTCTTCGTGTTTAGTTCTAGCTGTCTAGCAGTACTTAATGTACCCAAATTCGTGGCCATAATCGAACATGCCAGTTTCGGCATAGTATGTTTCCCAATGCGCGACCATCTCCTCGAGCTTTTGCGGTTCTTTTTCCGCCAAGTCGTGTATCTCTGCTGGATCCTCCTCAAGATTATACAACTCCCACTGTTCTCGGCCACGAGGCGCCGTCATCCATAGCTAAAGATAGTCAGTACACCTATGTGAGCGAATTCGTTGGTACTCACAGCTTTCCAATTCCCCTTTCGAATTGCCCGAAGACCGAACAGCTCCCAACCAGTAATTTCCTCGGTCTCGTCATGGAAACCAGCTTGGTTACCCTCTAAGTGCGGCACCCATGTAGCACCCCTTACTGGGACTACTTCTCGACCCCTAAAATTGCTACCTGGTGGTCTGACCCCAGCCAGATCCAGCACAGTTGGCAGGACATCCATAACTGTACAAAAGGAGTCTGTAAACGAGCCAGCAGGCAAAGACTTATCACCATCGTGCGATGGAGGGTAACGTATCAGACATGGACATCGTATACCACCCTCCGTTATCCAAGTTTTGAATCCTCTTGAAGGCGCCATTGATGCTGATGCCCACTCGGAGCCGTACCAAATGAAGCTGTTACTAGCACCCATATTCTCTAGGCTGTTATCATAGTACTTGTCGATGATTTTGTTAACGGTGCCAACGGTGCCCATCAACGGAAGGGCCTCGAGCATTGCACCTTCGGCACCATTATCAGACATGAACAGTATGAAAGTGTTGTCTAGTTCGCCGTTCCTCTCAAGGTGTTCAACTACCCGACCGATATTCTCGTCGATCGATTCAACCATAGCAGCGTACACCTCCATCTTCCGCGCAGATTCCGTGCGTTCTTCTGCGCTCATATTGTCCCAGTCGTGCCTAGGCATAGGGGCAGCATTCACATCGGGCTTGACAATACCTAAGTCGACCAACCTCTGAAGCCGCTTAGTGCGGAGCGCATCCGGGCCGTCAGCGTACCTTCCCTTGTACTTTTCGATGAGATTGCGCGGCGCCTGTAAGGGCCAATGAGGCGCAGTGAAAGGTAGGTAAGCAAAGAAGGGTTTTTCTTCGCCTTCTCGGTCGTTGAGATAGTTTATCAGTTCGTCGGTGAATGAAGTCGTTGAATAGAAGTCTGCTGGAACGTCGCTCGAGTCCGCTCGGTTGAGGTACTTGTCGTCACGCATCCAAAATTCGTCTGCATACATTGGAGTGAAGATAGCATCCTTGGGATTATCCAGTTGTGGTTCCCAGTTGTAATGATTGCCGCAACCGGAAAGAAACACGAAAGAATCGTCAAAGCCGCGCGCACAGGGAGACGTCTCCTTGGTAAGGCCGAGATGCCTGCATAGTGAGCCAATGTCATCGCCTGGCGCATTTGTCAGACCTACCACTTCCCGCTCATGATTGTTCGGTATCCGGCGTCTTGTAGAATCTCACTCAATGCAGCAACACGGAAGTTGAGATAGCCTTCGTAGCCAGGTTTTCCTTCGTAGTTCTGCTTGACCGCCATGTGTTCCACTAGTTGCCCAAGGCCTGCAATATGATTATCGGTGCCTGACAGCAGCATTGACCTTGTCGGCGAGCATGCTGATGCAGTGTGGAAGTTCGTCAAGCGAACTCCTGTTGCCGCGATCTTTTGGAGGTTGGGCGTATTGATCTCACCACCAAAGGGCGAAATATCGCTGTATCCTAGGATATGTCAGTATAACGTGCTTGGAGTCGTTAGAATTACACAGACCTAGATCATCTGCGACGATAACGAGGAAATTTGGGCGCTTCTGTGCTGGCATGGAACCCATGGTTGATACGGTGTAGAGTACCTGAGTAGTGGTGAAACGTGCTCTGGATGAGCGACCACAAGATTAAGAGATATCAAGAACATGCTCTATCGATATCCGAAGATTGCACCTAGATTCCATCATGAACTTGATGCGCGTGAACGTAGCCCCGACATTGTAAGCTCTAGCCTGTTGAGGTACCGAGCTGCACATCTCCGTTCTTCCCCGTCGACGACCCTCGGATCCGCTAGCGCGTTTCTCATCCCCGTCCATCCCCGTCACCCTCTCATAGCTACTGACTCGTGTTGATGGGACCACAGATTTGGGCTTCTCGTTCGCGTCGAATTCTTTCCCCAGATCGTACCGTGAGACCTGGGGTAACAGCGGGTGGCCCGATGATGCCATCCCAGTCCACTCTGTCGCCAACGCCTGCCGCCGAGGAACGACACGCGCGATATCCCTTGAGCGTTCGCAAACACTATATAAGTAGCGTTGCGCAGAACAGCGATATGAACTCAGCAGGTTCGGTCGCTAATTGATTGTTGCCGACTACACCCAAATCCGACGCTTACTATCTTGTTAATATGCAGGTCACCGATGGCAAAGACGGCGTCTTCACGAAGATGTCACGATGTTTCAACGGTCGACTCACATACTCTGTTGGAATCATCGCTCTTAGCCAGATCAATTTTGGTCTTGATCAAGGCGTGTTTAATAACACACAGGCAATGACACCATTTGCTCGTAGGTTTGGGGTATTCAATGCAAAAATTCAAACGTATGTTCCCCAAGCAATTTCCTGACCTTGCACTAAGGAAAGAAAAGCTATGAGCTCGAAACATATTATCTATCCCTCTTGAGCAGTCTCACTTATATCGGCTTCACATTTGGTCTTGTCACGGGCAATATCCTCAGCGCGAAGATCGGACGGAAGAAGTGCTTCATGGTGATGTGCTTCTGGGCCATCCTAGGCGCGATCATCTGCATAACCACGACAACAAACAAATGGCAAATGGTAGTCGGACGTATCGTATCATACGTATACATCGGTATGGAACTGGCTCTTGTGCCCGTAACGCAGTCCGAGTTAGTCCCAGCACCAGTACGAGGCGCCACCGTCGGTACATATCAGTCTGCACTACTTATCGGTCAGCTCATTGCGTCACTGATATGCCGAGGTACCGGCAATATCGACGACGATAGATCCTGGCGCATACCTCTTGGCATACTATTCATCATCCCGACCATCATGTTGTGCGCCGTGTGGTACATACCTGAAAGTCCGCGCTGGCTGCTCCAAAAGGATCGGCCTGAAGAAGCTATAGCAAACTTGCGCCTATTGCGCCAGGGCAAGTTCACCGAGGAAGAAATTCAACAGGAATATCGTGAATTCCAGGGCACATTAAATGCGACGGCCAAGAGGGGAAGATTCATTGAGCTGTTCCAGGGAAGTATGTACCACCAAGAACGATTACGATGTCTACTCAGCGTCGCTTTTCGCGGGTATCTCGTGTTTTGAACCAGACTGACAGGACTTGCAGCTAATCTAAAGCGCACACTTATCGTCTTAGGGGTGAACATATTCCTGCAGCTGACTGGGCAGAACTTCGTTTCAGTCTACGGCGCCATCTTTATCAAGAGCTTAGGTGTCATCAATCCTTTCACCATGACCTCCATCAATACTGCTGTGAGCATCGTATTCGTCTTTATATGTCAGCTCGCAACAGACAAGACTGGTCGAGTGTAAGTTGTGGTCCATCTCCTCCGCTACCTTCATCTACTAATACGATACCGTTAGACCACTGATGTTT